TTTGATAGGGTGCTGATTGGTGCATTTACAATCCTTTAGTTAGACGCAAAAGTTCTCCAAGTCCCTACCAGATTAGGTAGACACAGAGAGCTGATTGGTGCATTTACAAACCTTTAGCTAGACACAGAGTGCTGATTGGTGAATTTACAATCCTTTAGCTAGACACAGAGTGCTGATTGGTGCGTTTACAATCCTTTAGCTAGACGCAAAAGTTCTCCAAGTCCTCACCCGACCCAGAAGCCCAGCCAGCTTTACCTCTCAACAGCACTTGCCATGGGACTTTGCATCACCTAGGCTGGGCACTCTGGTAGCCCAGAGGGAGCTTGTCCCCTGATCAAGCCCAGCAGGCACCAGCTGGCCACAAAGGGTGCAGGGCCCACCAAGCCTGTGCCCACCCAGCCCGTGCCCACCCAGAACCCACGCTGGCCCGTGAGTGCACGTGCAGCCCCAGCTCCCACCCGTGCCTCTCCCTCCTCCCTGCCAGCAGAGGGAGCCAGCTCCGGCCTCAGCCAGCCCCAGAGAGGGGACCCCGCAGCATAGTGGTGGGCTGAAGGACGCCTCAAGTGTGGCCAGAGCAGACACCGAGGCCGAGGAGGCACTGAGAGTGAGCGAGGGCTGCTAGCATGTTGTCACCTCTCAATCCCCCCCTCTAAACAGGACACCCCAACTACTGTTGGGAATTTGGCAGATGACCCCCCTAGCTATTTCCTGCTGGACAGGGGTGATGAAAGGTCCCTGCAGTTGTAGTGTCCTCCAGTTGGGAGCTCTCCAGGCCAGTGAAAGTACCAGCGGGTCAGTCCAGGGGTCCTCGGTAGAAGTTGTTAGTTGAACTCATTTGGGGTTCCATTTATAAGACCATCTGTAGCTTGATGGCCTCGATTCTAGAGGAAACAAATTTAACAAGGAGGTTAAAAATACAGGGTCCAAAGGCAAGCAACAGCAAGATGGCTGCCACGGGACCTAGAAAGGGGAGAAGCCATGTTGCCCAACTCCAGAGGTGGGTATAAGAATTTGAAAGGCGCTGCCTGATTCCAGAAGCCTTTTCCTGTAAATGCCGGGCGGCATCTCATACTATCCCTCACTGGTTAGTGTAAAAACAACACTCTTCCCCTAAGAAGGTTCAGAGTCCTCCTTTCTCAGCAGTGAGGAGGTCTAGGCCTTGGTGGTTTTGGAGAGTCACTGCTGCCAAAGAGTCTATTTGGGATTGTAGAGTAAGGATAGATTTCTTTATCTCTTGCAAACTGTCTGAGAAAGAAAGTGTGTGGTAGTAGGATAACACATGTTACACTGTTAACTTTTAGCAAACTTTACTTTTATTGAAAACCTTGTAAGTTTGGGATTTTAATTATTCTTTGCTATTAATAAGAGCTCGTTCAGTTCATATTAACTTAAAATTGGTATACATGGCTTTTTCCTGATTCTGTAAGTACTTTAAAGTTTGGCTGAGTGCAAACAGCTCGCTCATTTGAGCAAACCAATTATTAGGCAATTTTCCTAATTCTGCTTCTACAAGAGTGTCCTTATCACTTACTAAATACCCATTGTGTCTTTTTCCTTAATCCCCCGGGAGGAACCATCTATAGTCCTGTCCTGAAGGGAGTTCCTCCTTTGTCTGGTTGGATATTCAGATTTAGATCCCATTAGGAAACCTGCTGGGTTAAGGATTTTTGATAGGAAGGCTACGGGTTGTCAGTGGCCTCAGTGCTTTCAGGCTACGCCCTTGTTTACACTGAAAACAAGGTGGTATTGGAGTGTTTTAAGGTTACAGAGAAGGCCTTCAATTATCAATTATAGGTTTTAACTTTACCCTGGCTTTTAAAGGAATAGGGTACACTGTTTTTTCTTTACTACTTCCATCTCTCTTTCTCTTTGACTTCTTCCTTTCTCTCTTTCCGACTCCCTCTTTATCTCTCTGCTCCTCTTTTTTACTGACTCCCTCTTTGTCTCTCTTTCTCTCTTTCTGACTCCCTCTTTTTATTTCTCTGTTTCTTCCTCTCTCTCTCTCTCTTTCTCTGACTTTCCATCTCATTCCTGTCTGCTGCCTCTGCCAGTTGCTCATGCTGCTGTTCTCCCCTCTCTTTCCCATTTTGATGGCTTTGGCAGTGTAAGACTGCCACCTCCTTGGGTTTTTGCACTGCGTGCAGTAACTCCATAATTTCCTTGTAGTAGTTAATGGGGGTTCCCCCAGAGGTTAGGAACTCCCTTTATTTCCATATTGCAGCACGGGCATGTAGGATTAGATAAGCATACTTGCTATTTGTATACACATTTATTCTTTTTCCCTTTCCCAGTTCTAAGGCTCAGGTAAGTGCCACTAGTTCTGCTAACCAGGCACTGGTCCCTGGGGGAAGAGGCTTACTTTCAAGTACAGTTACATCACTAACTATGGCATAACCTGCCCTTCATATCCCATTCTCCACAAATGAACTTCCATCAGTATATAAGTTAGGGTCAGGATTAGCTAAGGGGACTTCTAAGAGATCATCTTGGGTAGCATAAGTCTGGACTATAATTTGGTGGCAGTCATGCTCGATTGGTTCCCCATCCTCTGGGAGAAAAGTGGCAGGGTTGAGGGCCACGCATGTACGCATTTGAAGCACCAGTCTCTCAAGGAGTAGCGCCTGGTATCTAAGTAGGCGGTTGTCTGATAACCATAAACTTCCTTTGGTACCTACCATGCCATTTACATCATGAGTAGTCCAGACAGGGAGATGCTTTCCTTGTATTGTTTTGATAGCCTATGACACTAAGACGGCCACCGCCACAACTACCCATAAACAGTGAGGCCAGCCTTTTGCTACTACCTCAATTTCCTTACTTAGGTATGCCACTGGTTGTGGGGTTGTCCCACAAGTCTGAGTAAGGACTCCAAGAGCTATCCTTGCTCTCTCTCTGACTTATAAAGAGAAGTTTTGTCCTGTAGGAAAGCTTAAAGCTGGAGCTTGTACTAGGGCCTGCTTTAAGATTTTGAAGGCTG